CATCAGCATCATCATCAGAATCATCATCATCCTCATCATCACCATCATCAGTATCATCACCATTGTGATTAGCATCGCTATCATTATTCTCATCAGCAGAAGCAGCATCCTCATCAACAATCAGATCAAGACTGTTCGCTATCATATGCCCGCGTGTCAGTCAACATGTAGATTCCAACCCCTTGATACCCGCCCTCTTCGTCTTCGATCATAGCACGACGGCAGGAGGTGGGTGAGCAAGACAAAGAATGGGCTCGCAAAGATCGGAACTTACACAGGCGGAACTGGCACGGGTTGGAACTCACACGGAGCGGAACTCGCACAAGACGGAACTCGCACGGACGGAACTCGCCAGCGCGGAACTCCCACGAAAAAAACCCACAAGGGCAGAACTCGCACGAGCGAAACTCGCACGAAACGGAACTCGCACGGGCGACCACCCTCAACGAATCCAGCGCGTCGGAACTTGCACGCGTGCGAAGTCCGTCCGTGCGGGTTCCGTGTGTGCGAGTTCCGAGTGTGCGAGCCCAACCTCGCGCGAGTTCCGCCCGTGCGAGTTCAACTCCATCCGTGCGAATTCCGTCCATGCGAATGTCGCTGTGCGAGTTCCGCTTCGTGCGAATTCTGCACTTGCGAGTTCTGCGCGTGCGGGTTCCGCCTGGGCAGCGGAACTCGCACGAAAATGGCACGGGCAGCTGAGCTCGCACGGTCACCCTGGCGCGCTACGAAACACTGTACAGCCAGAAATCGATACAGGGACCAGGCCAACGAAGAGAGAAACAAAAGAAGGTGCCAGCCAGAAATTGTGCTCAATTCGTACACACATGGCTACGTTAATAAATGAACACTGTCCGGCAATTCGCAAAGACAGACAGCAGACTGTGGAATCCCCGCACACGGTGCAGTGGACGCTGTGGCACGTAATCTAGCAGTGGTAAGAATTTCTCTGGTACTTCTGGCTTTTCTAGCGACCTCTGGGGAAGTCCGAGGGCCTCCGTGACCAGAATTCCAGAGAGAGCCTGGCCGTGCCGACGAGAAATTCGACGGAGGCCGAAAAAGCACGGAGAGGAAAAGAATGTCACACGTGAAATGTTTCAACGTGCTGCCTAACGCATTGGGAAATGTTAGCCACCGTGGACCCCAAGCAGTTTGTTTCTGGCAGCCTATGTTGTGCAAGCTACGCTGCGCCATATTTGTTGTGCAGTCTATGTTGTGCAATCCGTGTGGGACAATCTACGTGGTGCAATCCACTCTGCTGAACTTGAAGTCGTCATCCCCACTGCTCGCGCAAACATCCCACCCACCCACCCGCAACTTGGTTTGCAAAACCTGTTCAGACCGACTACGACGACACCGACGACAACGACTAGGACGACACCGACGACGTCTCCCACGACTTCGACGACGACAACGACGCCGACGCCGACGACGACGAAGACGACGACGAGGGAGGAGGAAGGACGACGACGGCGACAACGACGACAACGACGACAACGACGAGGGAGGAGGGAGGACGGCGACGACGCGAACGACGACGAATGAGGAAGGACGGCGACGCCGACGACGACAACGACGAGGGAGGAGGGAAGACGACGACGACGACGGCGACGAAATAGGAGGGACGACGACGAGACGCCGACGACGGACGACGACGACGACGTGGGAGGAGGAGGAAGGACGACCACGGCGACAACGACGACGGAAACGACCACGACGCCAAAGAGGACCACGACGACGAACACGAGAAAAGACAGAGGACGACGTAGGCAACGACGACGACGACGCGGGAGGAGGGAGGACGGCGACGACGAGACGACGACGACGCCAAAGCGCGCGCGCACGCTTTTGTTGAAAATCCGTGTTGCGAAACCTTGTGTTTTTGTAGGTTTTTTGGACGCACGATTTTGAAATCCTTCCGAAACCGATGGGTTTTGAAGGTTTTCGGCATACGCCCGCGACGACGCGCGCGTCTGCACTTCGTCCCATTTTTTGCAGAGGATTCTCGCGACGGCACACGCGCAAGGACGTTCGGCAGATTTCGACATGCGCGCGCGCGAAGCCCATTTGGTAGCATTTTGTGGAAATCTTGAAAAACCTATGGTTTCCTGAAGATTTCGCAAGAGCTCGCGCGGAAGTTTTTCTAGCAAATCAGTGTTGCGAAACCATGTGTTTTTGTATGTTTTTTGGAAACTCGGTGGCGAAATCCTTCCGGCACCGAAGGTTTTTGAAGGATTTCGGCATGCGCGCGCGACGACGCGCGCGTGTGCACTTCGTCCCATTTTTTGCAACGGATTCATGAAAAAGTGCTATGTTAGAAAGAAAAATGTCCCGGCATAGTGTTATTTGACGGGGAACCGCAGGGGGGGGGGATACCGGCTTGGCTGGGATGGTATGAATTCATATTTAAGATGGACATGTGCTCAGAATCATATGTGATTTACAGCACGCGCGGGGGAACCGATAAGTCGGGGGGGGGGGGTAGAATCTATTACTCTTTTAGAAAGGAGAATCTATACGGGGCGGCGACGGCAACCACAAGGCGGCGGACCCGAGGCGCAGGCCCAGACGACGGCGGGCAACCAAGTGTCAATGGGCAACGACGGCGACGACATAGCCGCCACACCGACGCGCAGACCGCGCAGACCCAGATGACGAGCGGCGACGAGGCGGCAACGACGCGGCGACGGCGACTACAAAGCCGCCACACCGACGCGCAGGCCCAGTTCGTCATTCCACAAATATGAAAATCCGCCCACCCTGTCGGCGTGTGGGAGAGGCTTTCCGTCTTCCCCACGGCGTCGTCGCCTCTTCTGCTTTCCGAGGGCTCCCTACACAAGTCCACACAAAAATTGAACAATGTCGTCCTTCAGTCGAAGGGAAGCCCCTTCCATTGATCCCTTCCCCGCAAGGCGGGGGTCCCGGGGCAACTCCCGGGGGGGGTCCCCCCTCGGATACGCAGCCCTCCAGCTCTCATCCTCCTGCATCCTGGGGTTCCGTTGGCCTTCCGAGTCCGTCTGCGGGGCCTTTCAGCCTATCGCAAGGCTCCTTGAAGACCTTTCGCCATTTTCAAACTCTCTTGGCAGCCTCTGGCGGCACTCTTGACAGCCTCTGCGGGCGATTTTGGACCTCGCTTGACGCCGTCTTGGAACCCTCTCGGGCCATTTGAGGGCGCTCTTTGCCTATCTTGGCACTCTCTGGAGCCGTTCACGAACCCTGGAGGAGGCCTCTTGAGCTGTCTTCGGACGACCTTGCAGGCATCTGCCGCCGTCTTCGAGCCATCTGCGGGCATCTTTGACCCCTCTACCTCCATTGTCTTCGTCGTCGCTGCAACAATAAGGCCTTCGCAATAATAAGGCATCGGTCGTAAGGCCTTCGCAATAATAAGATGGCTACGAATACGAAGAAAAATATTGGCACGAACCGGGAAAGCCATAGCGTAAGCAAGAATCACAAGAAGACGATGTGGTACGAATAATAAGAAAACAAAGTAATACAATATTGTTAAGAATAAAAAATAAGACCACTAACACTGCCACTAATAATCGTATTATGAACGATGATGAGCATAAGGACAATAAAACATGGTTATACGAGAAATGATAAGCATATAATGTACAAAAGGATACGAATGCTCACATAATGAATATA